TGGCTGGTGTGGCCGCTGCTCACTGGGGGCTTCTGAGAGCCCGATGGCCCTTCTCCCTTCCAGAGAGCTCTGAGGTGTGGGTGGCTGCAGGTGCTCTCCTGGATGACCAGGGGGTGGGTGCGGAGGGCAAGGCCAGCCCCCGAGGCCTGGTCACTGCCCACCCTGCACTTGAGCAGCCGGTGCCCCGCAGACGGCTGCTCCTCCCATCTGGGCCTATGGGGGCTCTGGCTGTCCCACCTGGGGCCTGTGTGTGGTGTCCCCAGGGCCCCCGCTGGGGTGCTGTGCTGGGGTGCGTGTGGCACTGACCGATGGGCGCTGGGAACCTCTTGGCTGAGTGGAGCTGCTGGAAAGCTGGGCGCCTGGGCGTACGCGCACTGGACGCAGCAGAGAGGAAGGGTGGGACCCAGGACGCACCGCGCCCACGCCACCCCCCGCGTCAGTGAGGGTTCCTGAGCTTGTCTAAGGCACTGGGCAGCGGTCAGGAGGTGGGGAGCCTGCGAGGTCCCCTAGGCTGTGGCCCTGAGGGTGAGACCTGTGGGGGAGGGAAGCCCTGAGGTGGGCAGCCGAGCGCAGGCTACAGAGCAGTGGTGTGGTGGAGGCTGGGGCATGGTGGAGGCTGGGACATGGTAGAGGCCGGGGCATGGCGGAGGCCAGGACATGGCAGAGGCTGGGGCATGGCAGAGGCTGGGCAGCCTCCTGGACTGGGCGTTTCAGGGCAGCCGTCAGCTTCAGGGGGAGAGGACTTGGGCTAAGGAGGGCTGCGGAGCAGGAAGGTGACAGGGAGCCTCTCTTCATCTGGGCAGCTCCACCCCGGGTGCCTCCAGGTGATGGAGGTGGAAGAGGTCCAGGTGACGTCAGTGGTCCCTTTCTGAGGCCTGGGGGTGGGGGGGCATGCGTCCTGCTCCCCCTCCGCCTTAGACCTGAGTGCCCACAGGCGCTGGGGACCGAGGGTGACTCTCTGAAGCGGCACTGCCTCGTCCACATTGAACACTTCAATGGGAGTGGCCCGGCAGCTGATGAGGGGTGGGCCCATCGCACAGATGGGGACCTGCTCCTGTGCCCAGCCAGAGGCCTGGGACCAGCGCCCAGCTACTCCCATTCTGTGACCTTTAGGGGTGAGGGTGACGCCCCAGGCTCCGTGGAGTGAGCCTCCCCGGGTAGCTGCCGGTGCCCACGGTCCTCCTGGTGCCCGCGGTCCTCCCGGTGCCCTCTCTGAGGGAAGGGGAGGGGCACGCTGGCCCGCTTGGCTCCTCTGCTCATTTCAGATGCTCCTCCAGGCCACTGGGTGCCACGCGCTGCCCAGGCACCGGGGACCTTGGTGGCCAGGACGCGTGGGCCTTGTCATTTGCTGATGAAGTCGCATCCCCAGGCGGCTGCCGCGAGGGCTGAGCTCTGGAGGAGGGTGGGGGGGTGCAGGGCCGCGCACTGAGCCGCCTGGTGGACACCGAGGGCCACCCCGCCCTCCCCAGAGCCGACCTTTAGCTTGGGAAAGAGTCAGTCAAGAGCTGAGGACGGTTCAGGAGGCCAGAGAAGGCCGGAGGAGGGTGGGGACTGTCACAGTGCGGAGGCAGCCCCAGGAAGTGGGAGAGGGAAGCACAGATGCCGAGGCCCTGAGGCTGGGAAGAGCGTGTGTGTGTGTGTGTGTGTGTGTGTGTGTGTGTGTGTGTGTGTGTGTGTCACAGGGACCCGCGTGGCTGGCCTGTGG